TGGTGCCGTCTTGATTTTGGGTTCTGCGCATGCGCCAATCTCCATTGCAGAAATGTAATTTCCCCCCGTTTTCTAATGTTCTGCACATGCTCAGATCTTTTTAGGTGTTAATGCGCACCAAAGACTTTGCATGCCGAACTGGCAGTAATGCTGGTAGCAACCCACCCCAGGTCATAAGTCACTTTTTTTCAGTACCGTTTTAACTTTGAACGGTCACTAAATGAACTATTATAAGCCGAGGACTACCTCTATTGACTTATTATTAATTGTAAGAAGAATAGAAAAGTAAATATTAGATGAGTCTTTTCTGCCCACTATAGTTAAAAGAAAACTGATGGGTTTTGGATGATTAGTGTAATAGCTTTTTCTAGCTTTACCTTGAATCAGGTGCAAAATTAAGTCCTAAAATCTCAGCAAAATAAATGTACCCTGATTTGATAGTTATGTGTAGCTGCTGCTTTGAAAGTTCTAGCATTTGGAATAATTTATCGATTAGCTGGTATCTAAGGAGAACTATACACTACATTTTTTCTTGGATTATCATAATACATTTTTAAATTATATGTACTTGCTGATACTAATTAATGTTGCAGAAGTATTACATAAATGGAAGTAAACAATAATTGAAGGGACTCTGTCTGTCATTCAAATTAACCATTACAAAAAGAGATCTCTCAAAATGATGTACAATCTTGAAAATATATTAAATTATTCAGGAGCAAAGGGATAACACATTTACATATTACCCAAACAATTAAATTCTGTGTATGAGTTGGGATATTGCTTTGTACATACAATTATAGATTTAATTATATAGACTTAATGAATATATTTGTAGGGATTTGGTCTTTTATCAGGATGGGAGACTTGGATTCGAATCTTTGTTTAGCTGTCAAATTCACGAAATAACTCTTCATTTTAAAATCTCTGAATGAGTTAGAAAGGTCATCTAGTCCAATGTAGATGTGATGCACCTCTAACAAATGACTCTTCAATCTCTCCTTAAATCCTTCCAGCAAGGTTCCTACCATTTAACCACGTTTACCATTAAGATATTTCTTCTAATATTTAGAATATTTGTTTCCTGCCATTTTATCCCCAATAGCTATAATCTCTTCCTTAGATCAACAAGGATCCATTCTATCGTTTGCTGACAGTTTAATAGAGATTTGAAGATCTAATCTATTCCTAGAACCATCAGAGCAGGATTTCAGGATTTTGGCTAGAAACTCAAAGCTCGGTTCCACCACAAAACCGTGTTCGACTAAAGGGCACTCGACGAAACCGCGTAGCTGACGTCATCACAGCACGACGAAAAAAGCACGGTGTAAACGCTAAAGCTAACGATAGNATATATATATATATATATATATATATATATGCCTTTATTTATTTATCAGCACAAATATAACATTATATATATATATACATACATACATACATACATACATACATACACACACTAATCTACTTGTGCCATGCGAGTACCTAACAGTTTAGCTGAATACAGAGACGAGCAGATCAGTAAAACTTTGCAAAGACAGTAGACTAAGATTTACTGCAAAGTCCTGGTCTGTGGACCTTGACAGAAATGGGTGAACTGACTTTTCCTTCTAGTAGGGAAAAAAACAACCCAAAACCCACTGACAGCCATCTCCCTAATTACAGTACAATTTTAGCTCAACCAAAGTCTCCATGTATTGAATTACAATACTGCAGCGCCTCTAATTGTTACTCAGAGTGGGTTGGCTGTTCCAACAGTCTATAATCTTTCTGAACATAATAGTTCTGCCTTTCTAAACTCATTATAACATGAGCAATGTGGTACTTCTGTAATCGTTTAAAGTGAAAGGAATTAGCTCAGTTTAAAATTATTGCCATATTTCTGCTGGAAAAAAATCGTGGTTTGCATTCTATTTCAAGCTCCAGAGCGCAATATTAATTCTTTCGCTTTTAACATTTGGTCAATGGACATTTACTTTTATCACAGGCCCAATCTCCTTGATGATTTTTAACTCCAGTCTTAAAGGCGCTTATGTTCCAATGGTCTTTTCTTCACCATTATCTGAATCTGCCAGTTTCTAATTTTACTATACAGATACAGATATTTTCATAGCTCTGATCAAACTATCTTATGTGCTTCAGTGTCATATATGAAAAATGTGAGAAAAAGATTTGAGCATCGGAATGAAAACTACCCTATATCTATTTGTCTTGTGAGGCCATCCCTTTTAACTTGGAACTAAATAAGGTCAGGACTAATCTTGCTTAGTACTGGGATAGGAGCCCATCAAGTTAAAGTATCAGTACCAATGTGACAGTACCAGCAAGAAAACTAAGATCACTGCATCCTGTCCTCTCAATTCCTGGCAAATAGATGGGGAAGAAATGGAGGTAGTGACAGATTTTATTTTCCTAGGCTCCAAAACAACTGCAGATGGGGACTGCAGCCAATAAATTAAAAGACGCTTGCTCCTGGGGAGGAAAGCTATGGCAAATCTAGACAGCATATTAAAAAGCAGAGATGTGACCCTGCCAACAAAAGTGCATACAGTCAAGGCTGTGGTTTTCCCTGTTGCAATGTATGGCTGTGACGTTAGACCATAAGGAAGGCTGAGCACCAAAGAATTGAGGCCTTTGAACTATGTTGCCGGAGAAGACTCCTGCAAGTCCCTTGGACTGGCAAGGCGATCAAACTGGTCAGTCCTAGAGGAGATCAACCCTGACTGCTCTTTAGAAGGCCAGATCCTGAAGGTGAAACTAAAAATACTTTGGCCACCTAATGAGAAGGAAGGACTCACTGGAGAAGAGCTTAGTACTGGGAAAGATTGAGGGGAAAAAAAGAGGGGGAGGAGAGAGAATGAGGTGGCTGGATAGTCTCACCGAAGCACTAGGCATGAACTTAAATGGACTCCGGAGGATGGTAGAGGACAGGAAGGCCTGTCCATGGGGTCACGATGGGTCAGACATGACTTCGTAACTAACAATAACACCAATGTGACATCAAAACAATCCCCCAGGCCCAGCAGGGTTTGAACCATGCAAATTTGAAGAGCAGAGGTGGCTACAAAAAAGGCCACATCCAAGTCCCACAAAATGACAACATTTTAAGTAGAAGTGGCAGCTCAGGCATTCTAACAGAACGCTCTGCACTTTCAGCAAGTTGAAATTCCCAGCATCCTTTGGGGAAAGCCACAATGATTACTTTCCTGGAGACAAAAATGTGTAAATTTGCGGCATCAATCAACAAGGACTTCAGTGTTTCAGAGAAGGAGTAGGCCTCCTTTCGGCTCAATTTAAGCCTGGGATTATCCAAATGCAATTACTGCTACCTATCTAAGGAGACCAAGATTGAGTCTGAAACAACACAGAATGATTTAATGCTTCAAAAATCCAAAGTCAAAACTCCAAAGTAATTCAGACATAACCCCTTATAAACTCCTTTATTGGCTTCTGGTAAATCTCCCTCGCAGTTGAAACAGTTGGAGAAAGATTTGCACTCCTCTACATCATGTATTCCAGCTTCCTCATAAGCAGTTTCCTATTTTGTGCCCCCCAAAATCCCATCTATCAGCAAAAAAAGGAAAGATGGGGAAGCCTAAACATCAGAAGGGCCCATGAGATGCTAAGAAGCATATGCTACAATTTTGGTTTTCCTAATTAGGACAGAGTGGGTTTTATTAAGGGTATGAGGAATTCTGGGAGTTGAAGTCCACAAATCTTAAAGTTGGCAAGTTTGGATAGCCCTTGGTTATACCATTTAAACCACGATGAACAAGCCTACTCAAGAAAAGAGATCCATGAGATATAGAAACTCCCGCTGTGGCTGTCATAAAACAATTGAAAGGAATAGTGAGAGTGCTCCATTTTTCAAAGGTTATATGGTGGCTTCCATCAAACATTCTAGATCAGGGATGTCAAACTCAATTTCATTGATGGCCGCATTAGGGTTGTGTTTGACCTCAGAGTGTGTGTGTGTGTGTGTGTGTGTGTGTGTGTGTGTGTGTGTGTGTGTGTGGCCAGTGTGTGTGTGGCCAGCCCGAATCATTCATGTTGGTGGCGCCTGTGGTGGCCAGGCACTCCGCCAGGAAAAACAGAGCATTGCCCTCCCGAGCTCCACTTTTGCTGGCAGAGAGTTGCAGGTGGCTGCTGCAGCCAAAAATGGAGTCCCAAGCTCCGTTTTCACTGGCAGACGGTTGCAGGACGCCGTTGCAGCCAAAAACAGAGCTCAGGCGTGCTGTCCATCGCCCACCCGAGCTCCGTTTTCACTGGCAGAAGCACTGTGGGCTGTTTCGCTGTTTCCAGGTCAGCCCTGCAGACCAGATCTAAACACCCTGCAGGCTGGATCCAACCCATGAGCCTTGAGTTTGACACCCCTGTTCTAGACTTCAAATGAGTGCCTCTCCACCTCAACAACTTTGTGGACTTCAATTTCTAAATGTCCATGCTGGCTGGGGAATTCTGGGAGCTGAAGTCCACAGATCTTAAAATTGCTGAGGTTGAGAAACAGTGCTCTGGACTATTCTGAAAAAAAACCACAGCACAAGCACAAAATCTGTACTCATGAAGAACCTGTGGCATATCGGATCAGAGGAAGCAATAGTGGAATAGCTAAAATTAGGAGCACAGAACAGAGGTATTTGATCTATTCTATATGAAAATTGTGAGCTTCCCCAGCATTTAATGCTGCTTCTGTCATTCCATTTGAACAGCAACAATAACACAGTTTGTGATATAGGTCAGGGGACACGCAAAACACAAAGACGGAGTTCGTTCTGACCCAGATAGTGCAAGGTTAGAACTAACTGACCATTAATTTCCCAGGGAACAAATTAAGGGTACTGCTCAAATCAGCACTTTTATTTTTATATCAACAGAAGGACAGAATGACCATTGCCTCTTCCAAAGTCATCATCTGCTTTTTTAAAAAGAAGATAACGTGATATATTTTTGGAAGCATAGCTTAACACCATTGCTTAGGGTCAATTTAAAAGACTTACCTCGATAGTAGAAGAGGCAGAGATCAGAAAGAACAAACCAGCGCTTCTTCCAGAGCTTCATGCCAGTACTATCCTGTAGGTAATGAAATACAGAATAATAAGAGACTAGAAATACAAGATTTTGGGCACATTGCCAAAAAGAGAAATCTTTTTGTAATTCTGGAGTATCATAGTTATTACATATTCGTGTGATTAAACCATTAAACGTTTATCATTGCAAATAAAATCCCACATTGCCTGACATCTGTGTCCTGAATCAGAAGATGTATGTATAACAGTTGCCAAGGCAACCAATAATAGAGCCCTATTAACTTTATGCCCTGGAAATGTTCCCAGTTCACCTTTCTGACTTGTGCTGACAATGCTCAGCTAAACACCTCTTTTTCCTGAGTCACAAAACTCTTCTTCTCAACACACAATGTTTTCAAATGTGGTTGGGAAATTGTCAAGTTATGAGAAATGACACAATAAACGTATGACATCCCCCCCGTACCTTTTCTTCATATCCCAATGATCATTGCCTGTCCTCTAGTTACCTAGAATTACAGATGAAGGGTGTCATTTTCATCGTGTCATCCTCAACCCCCACCCCCCCAAATCTCAGTGTGTTGTAAACCTATGCTCAGATTGAGAACCCCTCTGATGTCTGAAGAATGGAAGTAATACCAGAAAAGATAGTTTTCAAAACATAAGGTAGCTGCCTTCAACATCAGGAGATGTGAGATGGGCAGCAAAAACTCATTATGTCGACTCACGAAGCTTTCCTGACCTGCTCCCGAGTTGCTATAGGCAGGGGGATGGGAAATCGTGCCTCGCAGATACACCGAGGAATTCGGTTCCACCACAAAACCGCGTTCGACTAAAGGGCGCTCGACGAAACCGCGTAGCTGACGTCATCACAGCGCGACAACAGCGCGGAGAAAAAAGCACGCTGTAAACACTAAACCTAAAATTAACCCCTAAACCTACCCCCCCTAAACCTAATCCTAAACCTAACCCTAAACCTAACCCTTAACCTAACGCTAAACCTAATCCTAACCCTTAACCTAACCCTAAACCTAACCCTTAACCTAACCCTAAACCTAACCCTAACCCTTAACCTAACCCTAAACCTAACCCTAAACCTAACCCTTACCTTAACTTGAATCGGCTTGCTTTAAAAGCGCTATTTAAAGCGCCCTTCTTTCTCCGCGCTCGCTGTTGTCGCCCTGTTGATGACGTCAGCGACGCGGTTTAATCGGGAGCGCTTTAGTCAAGCACGGTTTTGTCGTGCCACGGAGGAATTCATACCTCAGTCAAAGCAAAACACATTGCAGTTGGACGAAGTCAAGGTCATCTCCAGGGAGACCCGCAACGGCCAGAGGGAGGGACTTCTATGACCCGTGAAATTGCTTCATTGGGGAATGTGCTTGGGGACCCACCTTAGGGGGAGGGGGCAACAGGGACAGAGGCAAGGTGCGAACTAGGTGAAGTCAGACCTGGCTTCACCTAGGTCATGCCGATATGGTGCTCCTAATAAAGTACTAGGTTTTTCTTGCACAATGGTTTGAGGCTCCTGATTTTATTATGGCATAACACATTACAGCATTAAGGACATTAGCTTTAAACATATAAATGTAACTAGATTCTGAAGGAGCCAATTTTTGTCTTTCACTCTTAAGCTTAAGAGGATGGGTTTCAGTACCTAGAGTGAAACTAGGATAATGCTAAACACTTTAGAACTGAGAAATACACACTCCAAATGGCACAGGAAGAATGCTAGATGATATATGAAAACAAGAAAACAACAAAGCTGGCTGGGGAATTCTGGGAATTGAAGTCCACCCATCTTAAAGTCACCAAGGTTGAGAAACACTGACATAATCTCTTGTGGCTGACTAAGGTCCAACTTATTCCACATCAGATTTTAACAGTGGCAACTGCCACACGACGAGTATTTTTTAAAGTGTAACTTTTACTTGTCACAAGTAAAATAAAAGATTATGACACGCTACCCTTAGCCCAGAAAGTGATTTTATTAGTAACATCTGTAGTACAAATATGCTAAATATCTGGATTACATAAACCAAATCAAGTAGAGGTTTACACAGGCATATGGTACCGATAAGTTACCACTTCAGCTCAAACTTTAGTATTCACCTCAGGATGTAAATTATGTCTTTTCTGCATTTATACAAAATAAAAGGCAAAAAATGCAGGTGCTAGTTTTGTATGTTTGAACTGCAAAGGTGAATTAAACTGAAAATGATTTATATTGCATCTGCTTTAGAGAAACGTTTGTGATAAAACAATGCGCAATACAAACAGAATCCCTTAACAGATGTGGCCCTATCTGGGGGCATAAATCAAACCCAAATAATTGAGCAAACTTTTATCTAATGTACTGTCATTTTGCAGCAGTTATAACATGTTTCACAAGCTAGTATATTTTTTCCAATTTCCGGCAGGCCACAATAACAGAAAGGAAAATCACTCATTTGCAAGTGTGTGGGTTTCTCCAGCAGATACCATTAGCAGATTACCTTCCTCACAAAATGTAGAACAAAGCTGCGCTTCTGCACTTTTCTTATCTCATAATTGCAATGCTACATTTCAGGTGACGTTATAGTACATCCCTCCAACTCTCCCTCCCCCCCGCCGCAATAGACATTACCTGTTTATACAACCAGCCTCGCCTAACGACAGGTGCGTTCGGATTTCTTTTTATTGAATTCGACCTCTTTCCAAAATTGTGGACCTTTTTTGAGGAGCGTGATGTCTAAAAATAAAATAAAAAAAAAGAAATTATCAATGCTCAGTACATATAGGAGATATAAAGTTACCGCAGAGAGAAAAAACAGATTTGGATCAAATGCTTCCTCTAGGACTTATTAAGAAACTACATTGTTGTTGTTTTTTTGTTTCCCCAGGTAAATCAGTAACTACTTTGGAGGTTTTGCTGACTCCTGTTTTCTTGAAGCTTTCAGCAAGGGAAGAAGCTCACAGGCATTACATAAGCATAGAATCTATTTTAACAAGAATATTGGAAACAGGGCAGAGAAAAGAAACACTAAAATCGAAACAAATTTTAGCCGGAAAGCCAAATCTTAATCAAAATGACCTAATATTGCTAACTTAGTTACCTCTTACTTTCACACAGAAAGTACTTTAGATTGACTAAGTGGCTGCTTTTTTTCACCCTTAGAATTTTTTTTGGTAAATACAACAATTGTGTGTTATCAATTCAAGATGGTGGCACTCAAATTACCTTTTATCAAGGGCTTTCAGTGATGTTCCTTTGCCAATTTACCGTTTAATGGTAAGATAGGGAACAGCACCTTGTAAAACCACTTCTATTATCACAAGCGTCACAGAAAAAAACAAATCCCTATTTAATTCTTACAAGCCATTTGTGGCCTTTTTGAGATTTCAGTGCAGGCTTATAAGCAGTAATATGATCCCATGAAAAGAGCAGCACAGAATATCATACATCATGCATTTTCAGTTAAAAATGCATAAAATCTGATTTTTTTATTTAATATTTGTTGTTAAGGCATTGATTGGAATGGAAAGCAAGGCTCCCTGGGCATGTACGTAGCCACTCGGTCAAAAAAAGGAGTTCAAATATTACTATACCTTTTATTTTAAGTTTAAATGTTTCTCTGCAAAACAGAGAAAGAAAGAAGGACTAGGCTGTTTTAGGCTGGCCCAAGAATAAGAAATGAAGTAGAAACTTGTAAATGACCATAACATCCACATTAATTTCACATGAAATCAACATTCTAGTGTCCCATTTTTAAATTCTTTCCTCTCAGATTGGAAAATTAAAATTGAATTGCTTCAAATATACCCAAGATTTCCCATTTGGCTTTTTAAATAACAACAACAACAATAATAATAATGTCAGCCGAACAGATACCACTATTTATTTTCCTTAGGTATCATTCAGAAGATAGGGAAAAGGAAGCACTTTACTATGGTAGAAGAAGTTGAAAA